TAAGTATTCCAAGATAACTTAATTCTTCCGTTGATTTCTGGTAGTAGAGATTCTGAGCTGTGCATTAGTTGTCTCAAATATATTTGAGTCCCCTAAATGCAAAACTCGGTATTTGACGAAATTTTGAAAAGCGGGATTTTCGCGCCATTCCCTTGCTTATCATAACATGCACCTTATCTGCTAGTTAGTAAGTTGCTAAACTGTATATCTGTATGTTAAAAATACATTTGAAAACAAAGCTTAAATGCAAAACTCTGTATTTGCTCTCACTTGTCAGATGCATAACTGTGTAAATGCAATTGGCCAATGGCGTTGCGCCTTATGTGGTCGCGTGATTAAGTGCACGTAGGCATGTTATGCATTATTAGCTTTTTTTCGTTTTCCTGTTATTACCGATTCTGAACCGTCCTAGAATGGTGATGCGTATGCGCAGAAGGAAATATGAAGACATTATTTCATTTGCGCATGCGCTGGAGAGTTCTAGGACGATTCAGAATCGATAATAATAGGAAAACGAACAGACCTATTATTTTATCTGGATTTGCTAAAGGGCAGTAGTAATAATTACCATCGCTCGTGTTTGCCATTGTTCGTTAAAATAAAAATTTGTGAAATTGGCAAAGGTAGAAAACGAACAGTAAACAGAGAGATGAAGATGGCTTAATTATTATGGAAGAAGAAAATCCAGAACTTAAGCTCAGAATCTAAGCCCTTGTTGTTTGAAACCTGTTTCCTAAAGTGCCTAAGAACCTGCATGTTTTTTAGTTTAGAAAAGTTTCTTTTTTCGGTTCTTGTTTGTAAGGATTATTATTATTATTATTCCAAGGACTTGGAATTTGAAAGTTTGCTTTTCAAAGTACGCACCTGTTTTGTTTAGTTAGTTAGAAAATATTTTCTGTGTTAAAATATTTTTTTATATTATTATGTCTAATAAATAATGTTTTAGCACTACTTTGTGCCTTCAATTTAAAGAAAATGGGTTTAATCTGAAAGTAATTTTTAAATTCCACAAGTATATATTTATGGGTATGGGCAGTTTTGAGTAGCAAACTGGGTATTTTCAAAACACAGGTGCAAAACTCGGTATTTTAATTTTAAAAGTTAGTTTTTTTGGTTTTTGGTAGGATTTCAAATTAAAAAGAATAGTAGTTTTAAATCGATATGACTAGAGTTAACTAAAACCAAGATTTAAAACAAATCTATATGTATTTTAATAAGTGACAAATTTTTTGGTTTCCTGAACATTTGCGTGACTAGCAAATACCGAGTTTTGCATTTAGGGGACTCATTTATTCTACCAAACCAAACCAGCTCTATATGTAAGCTTACTATATGTATTATACTCTAAGCTTACTATATGTATTCTAGTATTATATATTTAAATAAAAAGACAGATATAGAAAAACTTTTTTTTTAATTGGGTCCATTATTCGTTGGATTCAAACTCTTTTATGCCATCAATGAAAGAAAAAAACGATTCGTAATAATTCAAGATAATCTGTAGATTTTTCTAAGAATCTACACATTTTTCTACGCGGAGTGGTTCGCTCATCGGACCGTCAATTTAAGTTTTTTTATGTCGAAAACAGCCAACATTAAAAATTCAAGGTTATACGCGAACTTTGCCGGTACGACCGTCTGAATCCTGTGATATGTATACGAAATTGGGTTGGTTCCACTCAAATATTTGTTTAAGGCCATTATGAAACCAGAGGCGTATCATTTTTTCCTCCATTTTTAAACAATAATTGCTTTCTTACAATTTTTCCTTAATAAAAAACTCTTTTTTCTGACAGAGAACTGAACTTCTGACAAGAAACCAGAAGGTTTAGGTATAGAAACATGATATATCGTTGAAAAGCAATTTTATTTGTGTTTCGTTTTTTTTAAATAATATACATAGGGTTAAATTTAAAATAACAATGATTTGAACAATTTTATAACAAACGGAAATAAATAATTTTTTTAATCTCCATGTTTGATAGCCAATCGATTAATTTAGACAAAACAAATATGTCGATTTTTCTTAACAAAAAATCCAATTCCAAATTTCCTATTTCAATATGCCAAATTTATAATTTAACCAATGCTTGTTCAAAATCATGTTTTTGTCACAAATCATTTTACACACATGTTTTATTTTTAATCTCGAAAACTCAGATCTGAAAGTAGTTTCGAAAAATGTAATAATATAACAGGTTTCATTTAAAATAACAAAGATTTAAAAAAACAAATATGATACCACTTTTAGTATGAAGCGGCAACACTGTAATGCGGAAAATAATTTAGACAGATGGAGCAAGCGCCTTTATGCAAAAATCCAAATTTAAAAAAAAATTCCATCGTCATAAACGGCTATCGTAGCATGGCGATTTTTAGTGGCTATTTAAGTTGGATATCTCTGTATATACAAACTTGTACCAACTAAAAAAATACGGCATAGGTTATTGACATAAATATGACATTAATGTAGGTCAAGTTAAGCAAAGCAGTCGCAGAATATTAATGTGTTTACATAAATATTATTAAATACGCAGTATTTCAGAATAATAATATTTTTTACACCAGAATACATTTCATTCGTTTTATATGTTACGCCTCTGGTAATGTGAGATACTCTTTCACACTGCTTTGTGTTTATAAAGCAGCTGTCTTGTATAATATGTATATAAGAAAACACATGGCAAAAAAGGGACATACATCAAACATTTGCATTGTTTTAAGTTGATCTTTATTTTTTTTTGTGGGAAGAATCATTATGGTGGTTGGTTTTAATAGTTTTTGACAAATTTAAAAGTTAAGTTACTTAAAAATATTTTAGAAATAAGGCTTTCTATACTGCAATAATATATTCATAATCAATCATTGATTACAGAACCTAGTTTCAGTTTTTTGAGATATTTATTTATATTTCTGTGTTTTCTACAATATTGCATTTAACTAGTAAATTTTATAGGTATATGGAAGTTTTCTAATTTTCAATCTATTTTTTTATTATATCTACTGTACTGATTACAGAGTCTTACAAAACTTCATCAGAGTGGGAGCATGAACTGAGCAGTATTTTAGCTGACCCGGAAACGTTGTTTTGCCCTATAAATTATTCCTAGGTTTATTCCCAGGTTTATTCCTAGGATTATTCCTAGGATTACTCCTAGGATTTTTCCTGAAATTATTCCTAGGATTATTTTAGTAGAAAAAATTACTAACTTATTGTCAGTGTGTAAATTTATATGAAAATAACACTGAAATAGTGCAAATATAATAATTGTGAAGGTTAATTTGACGATTGATACACAAACAATAATGGCCGAAAACTCTAGGGAGTGGGGAACGGCTGTTGTGTGAGAGAGATCTCATTCCTACACCGTGTTGTTGACTGTCTCTCAACTTTAGTAATTTGAGTGAGAATATGATGAACCTTGAATGATATATTAAAAAATTTTAAAATATTTTTATATTTAACTATTGAAATATATTAAAAAAATTATACCTCTTGCGCAAATGAATCTTAGTAGATCTTGCATCATAATTATTATTGTAAATAGCGTTAACCATCTTGTCCTCTCCTAATAGCTAAATTTACTTAATCACTATTTATAATTATATAAAAATATAATTTTTTAAATAAACATTTTTCTGTTTTCATGTATATCTCGTGGTTTTTCATGTAGGAGCGTCTTATTTTGACAATAACAATAAATCTTTTTATATATTATGTGCTAAATGAATATTTATATGTATTCGGGCATGTGAGTTGTGTGTCGGTACAGACTTTCTACTTTATTTGCATTTGGACTATCAAACAATAAGGTAAATTTTATTTATTTATTACCAAGTAATATAATAACCTGTCAGAGACGTAGTATGAAATGTATATACAGCGAATTTTTTAATACTATATATTAATATTTTATATACAGGGTGAGTCCTAAATAAGTGCAAATATTTTCAGAACTGGTAGATCTCGGTAAAAGAAATATATTTTCTCTTTACTGTTTATTAAATAAGTCCAAAATAACCGAGTTATTTCATTTTGAAATTAAAAAAAAAATGATTTTTTGCTTAAATTTTGAGAACCACTGAATTTTTCTGGGTTTTATTTCTTGTAAATTTAATCTACTATCTATGTTGCCATATTATCAAGAAATTAATGGGTTTCAACTCTAAACTAAAAACATTTCCAAACATTTTTTTCAAAAAATTCCAAATTAAAAAAAATCGCGAAAAAAAACTCATAATCATGTTTCTAGGGTCGAAATATTTGCACTTATTTAAGAGTCACCCTGTATATAAAATAATATATAATGTATTTTATATATTATTAGCCGACCATACCAGTAGGCTATTAAGATCGGCAAGAAAAAGTTTCGCCAAAAAAAAGGCACAAAAATACTGTGGTACCCAAGAATCTGGCCATTAGTTTGGCGGGGGTGGGGGGTTGGTAAGGGGGTATGAGAGGGGGTTAAAAATTTAAAAAAATCGTAACTCCAAAATTACAGTAGCTAGCGAAACGCGGTTTTCAATTTAAGAGTAGGAATAATATTTGCAACAAAATTTGTAATAATATCAAAATCAGTCAAACTCGCAGTTTTTGAGATAAAAAAAATTGGAAAAATTCATTTACTTTGAAACTAAAAGAACTGCCTACCAACTTTTTATTAACATATTTTAGTATTAATTTTTTTTATATTTATATTTTGTGACTATATTTTTAATATATTTCTCAATCTCTAGAATTTAGATTTAACCCAGATATTACTGAAACTTTTATTTTCATTTTTCCTTATAAAAATTTAGAGGCGTTTTAGATAAGCTATTTGAAACACTTTTTTCTTATAAATATTTTTATTTTAGATAAAAGATTTGAAGATAGTAGGTGTATGTTTAAACGGACGGTAGGAACTAGGACTACTTTTACAACTTAACCAAATCTAGATATACAATTTGATTTTACATTGAAATGACAACATAAAAGTAAACAAAATTGTAATAGACTTTTATTCTTTAGTGTGATAACTTAGGAAACAAATTTTTGGATGAAGTGCCACATCGCACTTTTCACAACGGAATGCTGCCTGTTTGTGACACACGGCACACCTGGTCTGCTTCTCTTGATAAATGACCAGATGGTCAAGCCTGTCGTATCTTGATTCTAGATGATTGTTCTTACTTTTCTTCGATGGGCCACGTTTTGTTGTTTTCTTAAAAGTTTCCAGCAATGCAGCAGCAATACATCTTCGAAAAGTCAAATGATCCATATTCCCGCCGTTGCGTTTATGAAGCTGCCAAGCGTTTTGTTCTGCCATATCTAGGCAATGAGCCAATAAACAAAAGTACCACTTTTTTCCTCTAATGGCGATCCGGTATAAGCTGATATTTTGATCAGCTCTGTCGACGCCTCCCATACTCTCGTTATATTTTTTGATCATATGAGGTTGGTCAATGTTGACATTTTTCTTCTTACTTTGGCAAAATCTTTTTACTGGCTGCGTAGGAAGGGGCGATGTGACATTTGACGCTATGGTAACAACATTGTTGTCATTCCATTTACAAACTATGACATTTGTGCTTTTCTCCAAAGAATATTCAAATGTACCACGGATTTCCTTTTTTATCAGCTTGGAATTTCTAAGTGGACAACTGGAAATTCTATTTTCCCTAAGGGTGCCCGTGCACTTCAACCCTCTTGCTGTTAGTTCACTTAGGAGTGGCAAGGAGGTAAAAAAATTATCACAAAATACGTGAAAAGGTGCGTTGGGCTGAATATCATTCGATTGCAGAACATCAGCGAACTGTAAAACAACGCTTGCTCCTAGACCCAACGGTCGGTATTTCTCAGGTAGTGGTGTTTTGGAACCTTGATAAGGTTCAAACCATTCGATGTAACCCTGCCTTGTGGTTCCTTGCCATAGTTTATAGCCCCAACGGATGGGTTTGCCCCGGATAAATTGTTTGGAGCCATGACCTCCATAGTAAGGAACCATAGACTCGTCTACACTATGACACTCTTCAAATGGTGCAAACAGCTGAAATTTTTTATTGATTAAATCAAATAATGGTCGCATCTTTGAAAATTTATCATTTTGATCCAAGGAGGTGTTATCATTTGTATGGATATTTTGCATAATATAGGTAAACCTATCTCTTGATATAGCAGAATACACCAATTTATTTCCAGCATCGTCGCTATTCTCCCAGTACATAGCCCTTCTAGGGAATTGATTGTAACCACTTAGAAGCAACACTCCTATAAAAGTCCTGACCTCATTTGCAGATATATCTCCTGCGTGATTATGCTGTGATGCATATAAATTTGAATAATCGGTTATCAAATTAACAACTTCATCGTCAATAAACAAAGAAAATATTTCTAGTGGCGACAGAGAGTTTTTCGGGCCATAATATTCTTTCCAGTCTGAAAAGTCAGGTTTTATATCTTCTTTTTTCCAAGTATATAAAGGTTTTTTCCTCATCTTGTTTGGCAATGCATGTTGCTGATTGGCAGGTAAATATGTTGCCAAGGGAAGTTCATCCTCGGAGTCATAGTGATTATCCTCAAACACCCCTGTAGGATTGCAAAGAGAGTCAGCATCTTCAGCCATTTTTAAACGTTTTACAGATGTTGATGGAATATCATCTCTGTTTTTATCACCTTCACATTCCCCGCCATCAGGGGACTGACGATCAAAAATTACTTCAGCATCAGCCATTAGCTGGCTCCCAGGAAGGTTATCTAAGATAACGGTATTTTCGTCGCCAGAATCCTCATCGGTGTTCCATCCATCTGGCGGAAAAACAGCAATTCCGTCAGGTATTTCTGTATCATCACTCAAATTTTGAATCTCTTCTATAATCTCATGCAGTTTTAGCGGCTTCTTCCACTTCCTGCAAACAAAAGAGCAATTTTTTATTTTTTTTACACACCCACACAGAGACACACACTACGGCGCAATTTTTTCGAATTTTTGGACGATTATAAACCTAGTGGTTGCGAAAAAAAATATTGTCTATTATAATACCTCTTTATGCTACCGCATGTTTAAACCAACACCACACTTTGAGGTTATGTTACCAATGAGAAAATAAAATTATTGGGTTAAATGATCCTAAATCAAAAACTATACTTCCAAACTAATGTAAATATAGGTATGTACAATAATTCATTATTATAATATTTCTAAAATTCTTACCTCCAATTATCCATGTTTTTACTCTTGGAAGTCACTAAATTTCACAAATTATTTCTGGCGCTCAAAACACGCTCTAATAACCACTCATTGGAAATCTGCTGAAGAAACATCAACAGGTTATTGTCTTGGTGGCGCCATCTACCAAAGGATATCCGAATCTTTATTTTACAAGAGTTTGTAAAGTGTATGTTTAAACGGACGGTAGGCTTATCTGGGCAATCTAATTAAGAAGACAGACTTCCTTGTCGAGGTCAAAGGCATTAATCTTTATCTTAGAAATAATTTCGCAGGTATTGAAATGTCGGAAACCATTATTTTGTTTGTTTAAACAATTCTTATTCGGACTTAAACAAAATAAAAAAACATTTGCAGATTTTTAAAATTCTAACACGGAAAAGGTTTTCACAAAATGTCTTATCTTTCTAGATTGAAATTTAAAATACGATTTTTAAGCGAGAATGTCAAAAGTTGACATATCATATGTTATTCATAGATAAAGGAAACAAGTTTAGATTGGAAAGTGCCCGTAAGGACAATGTAAACACTATTTGGCGCTATTTTTGCAACGGTCGCGACCTAAAGCTTTTGTTAATTTCGGAGTGGTTCGGCTTTTTCCGGAATTATGGCGCCAAATATTGTTTATTCAAATTTATTATTATTTTCTTTTAATTTTATAAATAAAATACAGTATGTTGAATATAAGGAACTTTATTTTATATAAGGACACGTATAAAATTCCTATGAAACATTGGAAACCGACGTTATGCCACGATGCACGATGGTTTTTGCGGTTCACAGTTCACAACATAGTTTTTTAGTTTTTAATGCCACTTTTTCATAATTATCACGGGTTTGAGTAAGTAAAATTTAAATTAAACTCACAAGATAGCAATAATTACTTTAAGAATGGACGCTTTAAACACTTTTCGGTATTTTTTCAATGAGGCCGGTTTAAATTTTGAAAGATTTTATAATTTTTTAAGATTCTGACTTTGACAAGAGAAAATTATTTCTTTTATTGTTTGCGCTTGTTCTTAGCAACCGCTAGAGCAACGCCAGATCGCGTACAACGGTCGCGACCCAAAACAATTATTATTATATACGACGGGCTTTCCAATCTAAATTTATTTCCTTTATCTATGATGCTATTCTATTGAGAGTGTCATTTCCTGTCGAATTAAGTAAAAAAATACTGAAGGTGCCATTTAAAAATCAAAAGTTGTAGCCCTTTCCGATGAAACAGGAAGTGACCGAAAACAATTGAGTACGTCAATCAATCCTAATTTATGTCATTATACTAACGTACCAAACTTCATTTATTTGAAAAATTAAAAAAGTTATAGGGATGAGCGACTTTTGAGAAAGACCCGGTATATTTTAAGTAAAACGGATTCAAAACTAGTGTATACACTGGAAGTTTAATATACCGTTTTTCTGTGCTGTGTTTAGTGAAGACGAAATGAAAAAAAAACATGGAATTTTACTACATATAAAAAATCTTTTGTAAAAATTTTAAAATTATTTTAGTAGGCTGGAAGTTATAATTAAACAGTAACTCCCACATCAATCAACATCTTGTGTATATGTACTAAACTGATGGAAGTATTTTCGTTACACGTACATATGTGTATTTGTATGTACATTCTTCAACAGATTTCATAACAGTTCACATACACAGCTACTAACAGTAAATATTTAGGAACTGAATATTTTTATGCTTCATGTATAAAATCAAACATAATTTTATGACTTTTTTGATCGAAAATCTAATTTGTGACTAAAATAAAATTATCGTAATAAACAGTTATCAGGGTGCAAAAAAATCCAAAAAATCGATTTTTTTTAATCAGTTTTTTTATTTTAATCGGATTATTTTTATTTTAATCAATTTTCTTTCCTAAATGGCTAAATCTTTGTAACTCTGCCCGATATTGACAATAATAGCATTCCTACGGCGGGTTGTCTTTTTTCCACATCAGTTACCGATATATTTTATTCTGTAAACTTTGCCGATGGCCCTATTTCCGAAAAAAAAATCGGCCGCTTTGATCAAAGCGATTTTTTTTGGAAATATGATGTTGATATGAAGATAATGACTGTCTAAAGTTGAGAATAAAATTAGTACCATCTAATGTTCAAAGTGCAAAGTACTTATTGCAGAACAAAATGTCGGTAGAAATTTGGAATAAACTAGAATATAAATTGGGGAAGGCGGAAGTTAGCTTGATCAACATTCAGCTGTTTCAAAAAAGGTATAAAACAGCCTTAACTCCAGCTTATCTTTTGACATTGATTAGTCCTCGGGAATAAAAATATAACCTGACATCAGAAGAACCTAGTCCTGCACTAGAGCTTGCGAATGAAATGTTTTCAAATACCGGATTTCTGGCACTTCGCAATTTCAAAATAAATCGCTGCCATTTAGAAGTGTATTCACACGGAATAACTTCAAAAATCGGTTCAATACTTTAATAGATGAATAGATATTAGGGATATGTGTTATATGTTAGATCTTTTACAATTATTTTTCGATCTGTTAAAGTATTTAAAGGTTACAACAGCAAGTGTAACTTAGGGTGGCTGCAACGACGTCCCGTAATCCTGCTGTTAAAACATAACAGCTGTTTTTTATATATAAAAATCAAATACGTTTAAAATAAAATATACGGAGGGTACCCCTTAAATTCCTGTCCCGATATTGAAGGATGGCTATAGAATTTCAATGCATTTCCTAAATAAGCCTATCCTTGTGTTGTAGGAGGTTTGACTAAACAAGGATGAACTTATGTCTTGAAACAATTAGACTCGATTTTCTGTCCTTCAATGCTGAGACGTAAATCCTCTCATTGCTCTTATGGCGAGGCCGTCGTATATTTTATTTAAACGTATTTGATAAAAACCAATTGATACGTTTTAACAGCAGGATTACGGGACGTCCTTGCAGCCACCCTTAACTGTACTTATCTGATGAATAGATAATATAGGGTATATTTGATATAGGAATACTTTTTAATAGCTTTATAGTAAAATAAAAACACTAAATCACCACAATACACCAAAACACTTTTACTTCACACTGGACGCGCGTTTCGATAACCATGTTAGCATAATCATCTGCTGATGATGCTAACATGGTTAGCGAAACGCGCGTCCAGTGTAGAAGTAAAAGTGTTTTGGTGTATTGTGGTGATTTAGTGTTTTTATTTTGCTGTGTATCACCAAAGGTTCCAACCCTCAACTGTAATAGCTTTATAGGAAATGTTTTGTATAATCTTTACAGTTATCTTTCGATTTATCATAAGTTTTTAAACAAGTTGATTTTTTTCATTTAAATCCATGATTAAAATAAAAAAAATCGTTCATTTAATCTTGATTTAAATCATTGCACCCTGACAAACAAAATATATTATTAATCTTCGTTAGTAAAAATTAAATCTCATAGTTTACACTGTTTACAGATGAGCTACAAACATACCATCTTACGAAACATAGGAAATCCCATGCAAATTTTAAACTATCCAAATATTGGCTCTCCTCTTTAGTTTACAGCGTAGTAGTAAATAGGGTTTTTATAGGTCTAGATATCCTGAACACACTTGTCAAATTTGAACAGTTTTGGACAACCCGATTTTAAGTAATCTAAGAAAAAAAACATCTATTTTTATATTAAAACAGAACAGGTAACAACTCAAATCCAGTAAAATGTTACATACCTTAAGTTGCCAGCCTATGATTTTATCATTATCAAATGTAATTTGTTGTGTATTCTTTCCAAACATGTAATGAAAGCGTTGTTTAATTCCAGTATTTAAAGTTTTGTTACGTCTTGACTTCATCTATCATGTTGAGCTAGAAAAAAATAAGCTGCAGGAGACCAGTCCAATAATATTATTTAAACTGGCCAATCTCTCAGCCATACTGAGTTACAAATAAATTAGAAAATACATCATCATCATTATCATTTAGCTTATTCCGTCCACTGCTGAACAAAAGCCTCCCTTAACTCTAGCCATTTCTTTCTATTTTGTGACACTTGAATCCAGTTTCCAGCCACTCTCTTAATATCATCTGTCTATCGACTAGGAGGTCGTCTTCTGCTTCTATAGGCCTCTTCTCTTAGCCACATGTCCTGCTCAATTTCATTTAAGATAAATAAACAACGCTTTATTGTATAAAAAGCCAAAATAGCTTCATCCACAAAGCATTTACACAACAAAAAAAAGCACAAAAAATATACAAATAATAAAAAAAAATATCATACAATACAAATCAACTCAAAAAAAATTGACGTCATTAAAATTACAAATAAAACATACATGGACATTGCAGAACACAGGCGTATCAATAAAATTTTACAAAAGGAAAATTGTAAATGGATAAAATCATGTAAGAGCTATAAAATATTAAATACTAGACCTTTAACCAGTGTGTGAGATGATAAAAATTTAAAATTTAAAAATTCTTCATGATTAAACATCAACAAAAAAGTCGTTTACCGCATATAGGGCTCTCTCCAGTAAGTATAATTTCAGAGCTTTGCAAAATGCGGGAAAGAATGAAAGTGACTTGATATTCAAAGGCAGATGATTGTACATTTTTTTGGCATTGTACAGTATTGAGCCCTTAAGTAGTTCTGAGCTCGGGGTTGGCAGATAAAGATCGTGCTCCGCATTCCTAAACGGATAGTTGTGAGATGGCCTTTCGGGAATAGCAGATATGTGCTTGCGGATTAAGCAAACGGATTCAAAAATTAATAAGGAAGGAGTTAGTATTTTAAATTTTTTAAAGAAATTCTGGCAGTGAGTTCTACTGTTCAGTCCCAATAAATATCGAACTGCTTTCTTTTGAAGTTTGAAAATACGATCAAATTTTGTCGCACAGCAAGTACCCCAGAATGGAAGGGCATAACAAAGATGCGACTTAAAAAGGGCATAATAGACCATTCTAGAGGTTGATAAGTTATGTTTCTTAGAAACTGATCTTAGCGCAAAACAGGCAGCGCTTAGTTTCTTTG